TTAACAGTGAAATAGATTACAGGGAAATAAAAATGTCTAATTTGGAGAAGTTCCAAGTTCCTTGTTGTGAAACAAGGTCTTTGCAATATTATAGTCTTTATTGGCTAGGGAATTAAGTCCCATGAACACCTAATAATCCCACGTGTTCTTCCTTATCCTCCTTATTCCAACTCTACAAACTGTTTAATGTTCTCAGCCTAGCACTCCTACATTATATGCCCTTCCTATCTGTTCTGACCTCTTAGTTTATTCGCAGACTATGATCTGTGCCTGACTTGCTTTTTTCTACTTTTTTCTGTTTTATTTATAGACCAACTTGAGCGTGAGCTCTTGCTTTAGCAATTTTTCAATCATACACTTTAACCCTAGTACAGTCTCTGTGGTTTATTAGTTTCATAACACATATTACTATTCACATTTGTCATAAGAAGTGCATTTTTGTATTGTTTCAGCAAACATTTTGAAATTGAATTCCCTGAGATGTTGGTAAAATAAACTGAATTATTACCATTGATTTTGTATGCATATTTTCACAGATTTTGGGCTGTAACAATAATAAAACAATTTAACTCGACTCACATTGTAAATGTTAAGGAAAGGCTTTGGCTAAATTCAGAAATATAAAAGGAAACCTATAGTAAAAAAAGAATAAAAATAGATGAAAACAGGGGAAAGGTTAGAAGAAAAATAGGGAATGACATGGGGGTGGGGGGTGAGAGAAAAAGCACATTAGCAATTATAGATTAGCTGCCTCTCATTCCCAGGCCCTGCTGTAGCCCTGCAGATGTAAAGTACTGACCAAGCTACCACCCAGTAGCGGTCATGTCTTAATTAACAAGCCGACATCTGATCAATAAGTGAGGAACGATGGGGAGGGAGACGTGAAAGGTGGGACAGCCTGCACGGTTCAAGGTTTTTGTTTGCTGTTGGTGTGAAATAACATTAGAGATCAATTGCACAGCTAGCCTCCAAAGCATATAATGACTCAAAATATAGGGAGGAATAAAAGTCCCTCTCCTTTTTATCATTTATTTACACCCCTGTTGGTCACAAAAAAGAGAAGGGAAATAGAAAATTGGGGGTTAGAAACCTTGCCACGAGTTCTGTTTTTGGCTTTTAGGATTGGAGTTTCAAAGTATTTTCAGGCAGTTTAAGGTATCTGTTTTGAAACCTCAGGACTGAACATGTGCTCTTCATAGATAATGTATTATTATTGTCCTCTTTAAGTCATGACATCAATTTAGTTTCATAGCAAACTGCAACAGCCAAGATTTATCTAAGTTTAGTTAAATCTTCAGCTGTTCATCCAGTACTTGCTCTTGTTATGTTCGTGGTTGAAATATTTTTTTTATGTTTAAAAGGTAAAACCTCCTCCTTAGAGTCATACAAGGTTATACAATGAGTGTAACCTAAACTTTTTTTTTAATGTTAACAGTGTGTTGGACCCCAGGATTAATCAGATCTGTCCATGCATCCAGAATCAAGTTATATGTTCATGGAGTTATTTTGGCTCTAAAGGTGAAGTTCTATACTATATGTGGAGGTGGAAAATTTGACGTATTCAGACAGTAGAGGTACAGTTATGTTAGTAAAATATACAAAGATTTGAAGTTCATTATCAGGAATCTTTGAAGTTTAGTGTAATTACAAAGGGAAGCAGATAGAAAAGCTTGTATCTAAATCTCATAATTGCACTGATGCTTAAACGATCAATAAAACTTCATAGTTTCTCTGAAATGTCAGACACAACACAGAAGGCAAACTGTCACCAAGTTGTCTGACTTAATCAACTTTGACAAGGCAAAATTCAATGAAACAATATGTGTAAATGTACATGCACTTATATAGCGCTTTTCTAGTCGAGCTGACTACTAAAAGCGCTTTACACTGCGTGTCATTCACACAAACATTCACACACTGGTTGCACCAGTGGGCACACCAGATGCAACCAGTAGGTAACTTGGGGTTCAGAGCCTTTCCCAAAGACTCTTTGACATGTGGTCTGGAGGAATGTGGAGTTGAGCAACTGACTCTCCAATCCGTGGGTAACTGCTCTTTCCTCCTGAGCCGCAGCCACCCCAAGATGTTTCATGCTTTTCCCAAATACTGAGTGTGTTGTCTAACTGTGAGGGCAAATCTGTGTCATACGTTATTACTTTCTGATATTCTGATATTACTGGGGCTATGAATGAAATATAAAGAAATGCCTGCTAACTGGACTATTTGAGTCTCTATAAGCTCACACTGAGTTTGCTGTTATTATTCTGAAGCACTGAACTACAAAAAACATTTGTGGGTCATTTTTTGCATAATTCCTAAATGTTGAGCCTGATATGAGAAAAAAAATGCTTTATTGTCATTAAACTAATTTTTTTAATAACTGCTTTCTGTTTTTTTAGTTTTGCATTGCGTTTCTTGAATTCAATTTATTTTAAAAAATCTGATCAGAAAGATATGTAAATAAAAACCTATTTTTTGTTAGTAAGGTCTTAATCCTCCATTCTTGAAAATGTGAAATTTCCCATCCATTCAGGGACATTGCAAGACTTTATGAGTTCATCTGCAGCTCATCCATAAATATTCAGATGCGTGTGTGTGTTTCTTTGTGTGCATATGCCAGTGACAGTTTATCAGCCTTTGTGTAGAATTCTGTGACTTCTCAGACAGAATGGCCATTCTATGATAAGCCTTTCACATTTGGTTGTAGCCAGAAGGCTGCTGAGGCTGGTGGGAAGTCTAATCAGTCTCTGCCCACCTGCCTCCACCACACTCTTTCAAGCGAGTTACTGATCCACCTCTGGACAGAAATCGTATGTTTATTTTCTTTTGTTTCTCACTGCAAAGTTTTGCTTGAAAATTGAATTTGACGCCAGAAGGCAGGATTGAAAACTGAGCAAAATAGGTTATTTTCTCTACATGCAACCTTTTGCTACTTTTCCTAATGAATGGAAAAACAAGATAACTGTGGTAGATGTTATTTTGTGCTGCCTAGCAGGTCTTTCAATTTAGAACTCATCAATTCATGTTTACGGTATAAATGTGAAGATTGGAGGACTGTGGTCCACCGCAGAACATGCATGTCTTATTTGAGCTGGGAATATAGCACAGTGCTATCATGATTGAACATTTGGCATGGCATGTGATTGAAGACATCAGCCTTGTGAGATTTCCTTTGACAGAATAGGACAGCTCACAGTCGCTGAGTAATTTGCTCGGAAAAAATAGGATTTCTAAAAGCGGAGCAGCCTGTTAAATAAGGAAAGCCCTTGAATTGAATAATAAATCTACATTAAACTGGACGAGGCTAAATTTGAACCACAGTCTGGCAATTCTTAATTCCATCATGACTCACTGATGCGTCCCTTATGATTACCATTTAATCAGCTGCAAATGCTCTTAATTACAAGATTTGTCTTCTACCAATTAACCAACTTGCTAGTGGTTCTAATCTGCTACTGAAGTCTACTGAATTCTAATTAGAGACTAACTGTTTCAATTTACCTAGGGACCTATCTGATGGGTCATTACCAACCAAGTTATCCTCCCTCTAAACCAACTGCAAGCAACACAGGTCCCATTTAGAGAGCAGCTGTGGAGGTTTTACGGCCATCATGTGGGCCATTTCGGCGCGTGAGGAAACGACAATGTTTCCATTACTGAAATGGCAGTGTCACTCTGATGAGTCACTCGTGAAAATATACACTCTGCAACACCAGAATTTGTGCAACTGAATATGCAGCAGGGGCAATGTTCTTCATGCCATTTAAAATTTAGCTCTGAAAATGTGAACATTATTTAAAAGTCTACTTCAGGCAGAAAAGAAGGGGCATTTTTTAAACAAGCAGAAAATTCAAACAATACATTTCCATCCAGCTCCAGGTGACACACAGAAGAAAAATACTGTTTGCTGATCATTACAGAATTATTTCGGCAGATTCCTGAAAGCTGCAACTGGCCATAAACGTTTGATCTAAAAATGCAGCCTACCATGGCCACAGATGCTCATAAAAGTTAAACACTAATTGGAATTACATTGCACTAATGTGGTTTTACCTTAGCATCAGTTTACCCACCAATAAAATATGTAAAAATATTGTTACAAGTAATATTTGCACTCATTTTATGAGGCTGTTTTATATGGTTTTGCTGAATGATCACAGGCTGTCGAAATGTTTGCAATCTGATCTTCCTTTAGTAATTGTACATGACTTCTAAAATAACTCAGCTCATAAATGTAGCTCTTTAATAAATACAGTGTATGTAGCCCAAATAGGTTTAAAAGCTTTGTCCAAGGAGTCAAGTTAATTACAAATGATTAAATATCAAAAGGCATGGGAAAAACTTTTCCACATCTTTAAAACAAATTGGTTTGAACTTTGATGTCTCTAGATAGTGTTAAATAAGTAAAACACAATTAAAAACATTTTATGTAAAGATTAGCAATGATGTAAAAGTAATAAAAATAACTATTTAGAATATTGGAAATATGTTTTTAGCAAACTACACCTCCAGCAAAATTTTGTGACAAACATTTTACCAAATCAAGTTCAACACCTGGTTAATTACCTGACCCAATCATTTTGAATCATATAACAGGATAATGAGATGTTCATTCATTCTTGATGTATGTCTGTAATAAAAAATGTAGAGGGGCATTCATTAAAACTGTGCCCTTCAGAGACATCACAGCCCCCTCTGTCCTTCTCAAGTTTGGCGTATAGTAAAAGGGACTAAACTTCAGTATCGGTTAATAAATCCCTGTTCCAACTTATTTGGGGTAAGCGCTCTTGTACATTTTTGGAGTGGACTGATTAAGTTTTTCATACTCTGGCTGTTTGAACAGTGACCAGCCAAGTATTTAAACGGGCCACGTTCTAGGTGTTTTTTTTGAAAACGTAACAAATCCTTATCTTTTGAGGTTGCACCGACTTCTAAAGAAATCTAACAAATGAACGATAATGATGATGAAATGATAACAAACAAACTTCAACGGATCTTACCTGCCCTGCACTTTGATATCGGAGATAGCGTAGAAGTATCTGGACAGATTATTCTCATCCACCATGGTAGCTCCAGTGGCGGGCTTCAGTAACTTAATCCTCAGATCGGTGATTGTAAAGAAGTCCCGCAGGTTCTTGGTGGTATCCAGCTGGCCATAGAGGGAGGCCATGTTGTGCAGTCTAGGTCCAGCAAACAGAGCAAAGCGGTCCTTTATCTCAAAGCGTACAGTCTTGTCGTTCTTCCACACATAGCCTCTGGAGTAGTCCTCAGTGCAAATGATGTCCAGTAGAGTGCGCTGGGAGAGGTCGCCTACCGTCTTGGGTTCCATAGTGAAAGCATCCAGGCAGTCAGTGGCATAGAACTGATAAGGGGTCCAGGTCCGGCCATAGTCAAGGGACTTTTCCAGGACCATCTGCTCCGGCCGGCCTGACTCAAAGGTGAGGACGATATCATCGGTCAGTTCAATTGTCTTGTTCCACGACAGCGTGATGTTGACCTGCAAAGGCTTTGGGTATTTTTTCCACGACGTTGACTGCCAGAAGGTTGTGGGGTTTCGACCCTCAAAGTCAAACATCAACTCAGGAGGATGAGCCAGTTCATCTGTCTCAGCATCACATTCATTATTGCACATGTATGGATTCTCCTAGAGGAAAACACAAATACGCAAATGGTCAGTGCATGTTGCAGGTAGATAATAAGAATGCATTTCTCTCCTGTTGTGGATTGAACAAATGTATGATTATGAAACTGCACATTCAAAGTAATTAGTTAGGACAACTAAAATATGGCTTAAAGTTGGGTTATTAAACTCTCACAGGCTGTTGACAAGTTTGAAAAATGTTCCCAAATCTTTTTTTTTTCTGAGACTTCTTCAGTTTTTTCAGGATTGCACTGGGGAGCTCCTCTTTATAATAACCGAGAAGTAGGTTACCCAGCAGCAAACTGATAAAAATTGGATTAGAATTGATCTGAAACATCGCTGAAGAAGATAAAAAATCAAGGCGCCGGTTGAAAATAAGTGAAACATTAACTTGTTTAGAATGCAGTTTTGTCTGTTGGAAATTAAAGGTATTATTTTCCCCTTGACCCTGATCGATCAGATAATGATTTCAGGAACTGAACCCATCTTTATCACGGCCAAGCACATTTGTATTTAATGATCCAGCAGTGTGAGTTCTCGGGCTGGAGTTGATGGTGACCCCCACATTCAGACTGTGCTGTGGATACTTTTGTCTGCTTGAGCACCATTCCTGCCTATACCGCCACCCAAATTGCCTGCGTAATTGATATTCCTGTGTGGTGTTTCAGCAGAGATGGGAAAGGAATTCCGATGAGTGCTTCTTATGAAATACGCAAAGGGACATGCATTTTTCATGGGCTTGTGTTTGCTCTCCGCCGTAGACGCCCGGTGAGTTTGGACGTTTGTGCGAGCGCGTTTGTTGGGGGAAAGAGAGGCGCGCTTGATGTGTTTGTGTTTGTTTGTGACGGGGATAGAGAGTGTGTGAGCCTCTCGTGTGTGTGCACATGCGACGTGTGTGCCAAAGTGTGCGGATGTGAGTGGATGGCAAAGAGAGGGACACAGGCAGGGAGAGCTGTGCCTGAAACGAGGCCGCTCACTCTAATTGACATTCCTCTCACCTCTGCTCCACGAACAATGAGGTTAAGTGCTGATGAGATTCAGATCAACTGTAACGCCGTTCGATAATCAGCAATCATCTGACACTCTGCACACAAAATGATCTAAAGGTGAGAACAGTGTTATCTGCAACGTTAGTCACCTATCTCTTAGAGATTGCGGTGCATTCATCGCAGACTGCCACTCCGGTGATGGCAGATCACTGGCAGGAATACTGATAAGCAGAAAGCATTATATTCCATTTGAAAAGACAGATTGCTGCTTTTTTTTGTTTTTGTCTTCGAGTAAATTTAAAAATGTTTTTTTCCAAAGGAAAGGAGCTATTTGATTTTTTATTTTCTTCACTGTAAGATCTATGGATTAATTCCTTGTTTTTAGATACACATCTCAAGAGTCTATTTAATTTCCTGTGGGGCTTCGATATGCTATCAGTCACTTGCTCCTCAGCTATAAACGATTACCATTTGATGTAGAAGGACAAGACTGTTGGATTGTGGGTCACTAGGCCTGCACGGCTGGCTCAAAGGAGCGTTACATGATCCAATTAGAGGGGTAATAAGGGGTTATGCTGCTGAGACAAAATGTGAGGATAAGACAGAGTGGGATGGAGGGAGAATGTAACCTTTTTGGATTGTGTTTTGAAAAGAAGGTCTCAGTTGCTAAAAGTGTTCTCCTTCAACGCCCATGCACACCCACACACGCTACACTAACACAAAGCTTGAAAGGCCACAGTGTAGTCTGAAGCCACAAACGCAGAGGGAAAAAAAAAAGATTTGAAAGAGAGTTAAGGGGTAATGGGGGGACTAGAGACTGTCAGAGTTCCTCACCGGGACAATAAATTGTACTCAAGTTTATGGTTTACCAATGATGTGTGCTGAGGCTTGTTATATTCCCTGCCTGAGCTTGAACAGGCCCAGAAGTCTGTGTAGCCTGGTCCTTGGTGTTGCGCTGAGAGGGAGAGATTTCCCTGTTGCCATTCAAGAGCATGAATTTTCACTTATAATAATTTCGCTGGTTTCATGGTTTGGTTCAGGAGCAGCAGGGTGTCTGCCTTCACATCAGCCACGGAGCGAGCCTTAGTCAGCTATGATATGAAGAACAGCAACTGCAGCGTCCATGGCTAATGAGAAAACAATTTCCTTGCAGAACAGCGAAAAGCAGAGTAAATAGAGGATTTAAGGAGAGAAATTTGCCCTATTGAGTCCTAGTACGTGTACAGAAAACAGCCTCCAATGATTCATTAACTTCCAGCTCTCTGAAAAGAAATCGCTAGAAGGAGCCTGTTTATATTTGAGAAAGAGCAGAGAACAAAACTTCGATAACAATGTCCCTCATTAATAAGGCTAAATAAGGCAATAGCACTATTTTACTATTTGCTTGTTTTTGTTCTGCTAAACCCCGAAATAGTGACACGCTTCCATAAGGCTTAGTTTAGGCAAAACGAGAGACTATGAAAAAGGTCAGCACCTTTCATCGGATTTACCGTGGTGCTTATTTAACAACAAAAACAGTGCCTTATGAAGATCAATACCTTCTGTGCTCATCTAACACCAAGGGCTTCAGCGCTGTGCCGGGGGGCAGCTATTGAAAAACAATAAACCCTCTCAACTAGATCGTTCACCCACGATCATGGCTGCGGGAGAGGAAAAAAGTCTGCAGAGGATTTGAAAGAAACAAGAATTTTGTACCAAAATGAAATATTGATTAACCAAAGAAATATGTCCTGAACTCAGAAATAAATTGCTGGGATGAGAATCTGATAGAGGCTAGAACAGCTATTACAATATTTAACCAAAATGTTGATGATGTTTAATTTTCATGATACAGGATGTTGTTTCAACATCCCCAATCATTCAATTATTTCTTTAATCATTATTACCATTGTATCCAGTTGGGAGGTAATGAGGATATGATGGCTGTTGCTTTCTGTTTTTAAATAATTATTTTTTTTATGTTTATCAAGCTCTAAAATTAGGATTATATTGAGTTGACACAGTAACCAATTATACAATACAATATTTTTCAGCAACCCTGTGTTAAATGGTTTTATCTCATCCACCAACCAAAACCCCCATCACAAACACTGATGTAATTCTGCTACATCCAGCCTCCATCTTTAAAATTACCCATGGGTAACATTTTTCACGGTACATATCTCTTTCGCAACTCTGATTGTTTTTTTTTAAATTAAACTTAAGATTTTTTTGTCTCGTTGTCTAATGATCCATGTCATAGATATGCAATAGCTTTACTCATTCTACATCTATTGACATACAAGGCAGCACGTACAAGACTGAGAAAGCTCCTAATGGCCTCTGTCTTATTGGTATTGCTGACAACTCCATTGTCACCATGGCTGCTGTGAAACAGATCCCAGCTGGTTTCTATCAGTGCTATATGATCTGTCCGGGGGCACTGGCTTAGTGCAGGAGGGCTGAGCAGTAAGACTGTGGCTGGTCGCAGCTAATGATGTCCTGATCTCTGCAGCCTATAAGGTCAATCCAATATCATGGAGTCACACAGTGGGAGAGCCAGAGAACAAGGAAGACGGAGACACTTGAGCTGTGAATCCAAATGCCATGCAGTGAAATGTAAAATGATCAGTAAACTAAAGCTCTTCTCGATTTTCATAAAGGCTCACTGGATGTTAATGGTTTCATTTATAGGAACCATTTAACCATGACACACCAAACAGCACTGGCACTTCCTTTTAAGAAGCATGTCTTAAAAGGAAGCATGTCTTAAACTTAATGCTTTAATATAGTCATAGCACAGGTGTTGCACAATAAGCGGAGGAGAGAACGTTTGGAGGGAGAGATCCACCCATGTAAGTTTGTTTGCTATCCAACATGAAGATTGCAACATACTGTACAGAGCCATCATCATTATCATTATTTTGCTAGCCGAGGTAAGTTATGACCTAGAATAACTGGATAGTTACATGTGATGCTGGCTCACAATTCCAAAATAATTTGAAGCTTGTTGTACTTTGGTATTTGCTCTGGTGCCAAACACGTTTTAACAGGTGGCATCCCTGAGTGCAGAGGGACTGTATTGTGAGGATGCCACAGGGCTAGCGTTAGGGTTAGGTCAATACGGGTTTTTAACTTTCCTGGAATTTTCTTTTTTTAAAATTCCAAGGATCACCTTCAGGAAAATATTAAAGGAAATTTTGACCAGGTGAAACAGAAGAGTGAAGGCTTATGACACTCATAGAATTTATTTATCAAAGAAGGATTTTGGCTCTTGATTATCACAACACGCTGACTTCTGATGCTTTTGGTAGCCGACTTTGTACATTATTCAAATTAGCCGGTTGCATCTGTGTTATTAGATTAGCCCAGATTTAAGGCCTTAGCCTGTGGTATGAACAACCATATATACTATTTAGAAAATTAACATTAATTCCCCCTATAATGTTTAACATGCATACCCAGGTTAAACAAACACACACACACTTGGGGATTAATAAAATGGTGTGACACACATGCTTAAATGAATGAGACACGGCCTCTGTCTGTCGGAGACAACCCCCTGCTGCTGTGCTCTTTGATGGAGAATATGGCTCAACAGACAAATTCTTTGGTCAATGACAGCTGCAGTTGAAAGATGGTTACAACCAATCCAAGAAATCAGTTTTGCTGACAGATTTCTGACCCGAGGCTCATACCAAAGAATTATGCCGCAAACAACTTCGACTCCAGTCTTCTTTATAGCAAGTTTTTTGGTAAAAATGTTTAACTTTTGAACCAGTTGTCGCACTCTTGAATGCTGCTTTGTTCTCAACAAGTCACTCTGGGACAAGCATATTTCCATACTAAATACCTACTAAATTAACTGGCTTGCCTTTCTGTGGGTGATGCCCACTTTTCAGGGAAAAAATAGTTTTGTTTCCAGTCACAACAGTCCAGGGGGAAATCAATGTTATTTTATGAGAAAAAAGAAGTGTGTGCCATATAAAGAGACCATTAACACCATTAACCTTGCAGCAGATG